TGGCTGATAAGCCATGCCTGAAACCAACAAGCGAACATGCTGTTTCTACGCTGTAGATAGTTGATACGTTGCATCTTTATATTATATAGCTAAAAGTTGGTGGCAAATATAAGGAAAATTCAGTCCATGAGACAATACATATTGTGCTGTTAGGTTTGATTATGTATGGCAATCATATTCAACCTTATACATAGATTGAGATAATGCCATGTCCCAACGTCCTTCCCTACTACTAGCTTCTGTACACTCAAAGTTAGATCTTAGAAGTAAAGTTGTTGTGAACTTCCATTTTCAAAATTTGCAATATAGACCTCAGGCCAAAATTCTGCCTTGTATGCCAAAGTACTCCTACTATCCTGATGATCCGTTTTGTGTTACGAACTTGAGCTTCTTCTCCATTAGCATTGCTTTAATAGGCATTTGTTCTGCAACTGTTTTTTTTTAATTCAATTGCGTATTTAGCTTTTGGAATGAGCTGCCGGTGTTTCTAGTACACGCAAATTATTGGTGCCAGCGCCAAAGCCAATCAAGGGGAGTGTGCACACTGCACGCACAGCAAGTGCCTGACAGACGCTTGCGTGATCCGAGTTCCGACACTATTTCCGCACAGTTGCGCCCGTGTCTGCTACAGCTTTGCTTCTCCCGGTCCCTACTCCTACCCTAAGCCCTTTCTCAAATCTCAAGCATGCTCAACTGGCACTCTGGCAGCGCATCTTGTTTGGGGGTGTTCTTGGGCATCTGCAAACAAGAGAGCGTCACTGCCGACGGATTCAGCTCAGGGAACTAACGGCCCATTCAACCTTTTACTTCCTCCCTCCGTTTTTATTTGAATATAAATCAATTCTCAAAATTATCTTAGATCAAACATTCTTAAATTTAACTATATTTATAGAAAAGAGCATTAAAATTTATGACATTAAATTAGTATCATTAGATGTACTATAAAATATATTCTCATAATACATATATTTGATGTCATAAAACATCTATGGTCTTTTTAATAAATTCGGTTAAATATACACAACTCTAGAAATATTGATTTATTCGAGAACAAAGGCAAAGACAGTACTACTTGTTACAACACAGCAGCAACGAAAATCATGTTAAGTTACAGAATCCGTGTTGATTTATAGAGAACAGTCTATTCAGACAAACACTAGCACTGGCTTCCATATGAACATAGCCACGCCTGCTACCTGCGCTCCGATCCAGCACAAAAGATTAAAAAGAAAGTCAGTATTGTGAAGACCAATCGGCAGCGCTGCCGACCCTTGGAATGCCGGTCTCCTTCTTGGCGCTTGCATCAACCGTGTACGTCATGCCGCACACCTCGCCCTTGCTGTCCACCCTCGGCACCGGCTTCACCTCGTTCATGGGGTGCTCGTAGCTCCTCAGCCCTCCGGACGTCGTGAAGAAGAAGCCTGATGCAGTGCAGCCGTCGGCGCCAGGCGTCAGCGGACGAGAACAGAGTATAGAGGGACAAGAACCACTTCTGCCCGTTTGCTTTTCTTCGGTTGTTATTGGTTATGCTTACCTTTGGGGAACGGGGCAGAGGATTTTCCACAGGCCTTCTTCACGAGCTCAGCGTCGTCAGAGACCACAAGACGGCCATCGGTATCAGCGCCCCAGTAGAATGGAACGTTGCCATCGGAATCCTGTAATGAGGTGATTCATGAACACGAGCTATCAGTTGCCTATCAATACCAGTGATAACATTTATACGTCGTAGCCAACGATCAAATTGATCATAAATAAATGAACAATGCACAGCTGTATCTGTTCTTTAAATGTAGGATGCTGACATGAAGATGTTAGACAGAAGCATCAAGAACATCTATTTTAGTGAAATATAGATAGTGATGTTGTTGTTCTTGTTAAAGCTGAAAACTCAAACATTGATAAATGTCTCGTAGATGATCATGATCACGAACAGACTAGGTTACTAGGTTGGGTTTTCAAGAAGTACAAACCTTTTTCTTTACTTAAACAATTGTAACAGCACCAGACAGGTATCATAGTCCCAATTAGCAGGAGCTTGATTTGATGCTGCTAATTCTGCACTAACACTATGATCCAATAGTCTGCTGAAAAAATGGCATTGCCACTTCAACCTTAAGCAAAACCTTTAACTCTATATGTATGATGCCGGTTCTATGTGGATCCCGAGACGAATTGAGTTTTCATCCACATAGAGCAACCAGAATACCACTAGGCACAAATCTTTTTTAAAAGAATACACCGTTGACTAATTTATTGATAAACTGTCTGCTCCTAAGATGTGAATAATGCCAAGATCAAACAATAAAAAAAAGCTACAATATAGGAGTAGTTCACTTACAGCAGCCATGAAAACCGACTTAGTCGAGCAATCATACAGAACAAATGCAAATTTCCCATTAATGTCCCTCACAACTTGATCTGCAGGATAAGGACCCCTGTCCCTCAAGGTCCTGTAAGCCTCAATGATGATGTTGACCTCATTAGCGCCTTTACTCAATCCATACTGCTGCTTGAGGACAGCAACGTTCACAGTTGTGCCCTGGAACATGCAGAATATGTCATCCACCGCTCCAAACAATCTGCAACCACAAACGATTTGTTTGAGAACGAGGTACGACATATACCGCTGACCACGTTAGGCTAATGCAACTACAATTCAGTCAGGGCCCGACAGAGTTCATAAGAAAACTGCTCGTAATGAGTAGCATAGCAGTGTCCTATCTGTAGTTCAGCAATAAACTAACAACGAAACGGGTCTGATCGGATGATAGCTAGTGAGGATGTACTGATAAAGCATCGGCAGGTTTTTTACTTGTTGGCTAGTTTCTGAATCCGTAAGAATGCGATCATATATGGACGTAAATAAATGTCTGACCAAATAGTGAAAATGCTATCGAGGGCACTAATTCAGTTGAAGCAGAGGATAACATGCTGGGAGATAAACAAGCGATTGTTAATCTCGCAGGATTGTCAGTTTGTCACGCGAGAGAAAATCAGTAAAACGAGGATCAGAGAGTACACATTCTGCACAGCGGAGACACCACTACCATGTACAGTGTATGAATGAAGACAATAGCGAGGCGAGGATGATCCTCAACCGAGACAATACAAAAGCAAGCTCGACTCACCTGGGGAGAAGGGGGCTCTGGTTGCTGGAGGAGTACGCCATGGCGCCGGACCCGCCAAGGTTGACGGTGACGGCGTCGGGGCGCGCCTCTCTGAACCGATCCGCGAGGCCCGCCGCGCTGTCGCCCCCGGCGGCGCCCGGCTGCCGCAGCCCCTCCGGGCTCGGCGCCACCGCCGGATCGAACACCGCCAGCATCTCCGCGCAAGGCCCCCCGCCCAAAGCTGCGAAGCGATCCGCGCGTCTCCCTCGCTCTGCTTTACCTCGTACGCTCCCGCTGCCACGCGCCGCGAGCTTGCCAATCGCCACAAGCGTTTCGATCGAGATGATGACGACGAGCGGATTGGTGGCGGGCTTATATTGCGGTGCGTGCGTGCGCGGCGCGGGGAAGGCGGGAGAAGGATCGGGACTGATCCACACGGTGCCGCGGGGCCCGCGGCCAAGTCACCGGCCGCCGCGCACTCGTCGGGCGCGGAGAGGATAAAGACAAACGGGTAAATAGCAATTCCCTTTTTCTTTAGAAAAAGAGAGAACCAACGGGAAAGTGGGATTCGCATTGGCTATTCTCTTTTTTTGAAACCTTCGCATTGCCTATTCTCTATCTCGAACTCGAAAAAGGATTTAATGGCCGGGGAAGATGGAAACATTTTCAGTTGTGGAGGCCCATCTCAGGAATGGGCCCATTGTAGTCATGTCTTCTTGCATAGTAGTACGTACTACTTTGAAGTTTGATCTATATATATATATATAACTCTGAGTTTTGAATGGCCAGCATCAAATATGAAAGGAGAGGGCCCAGAGGGCAGAGGGGACTACTAGCATGAAACAACTCCCTCAAGAAAAAGTAGCATCTCTCGTCAGAAAAAGAAAAGCATCGACCTGAAGTCCAATAAATTTCGATTTCTTTTTGCTAGTCCTTTTGGCTACCGATTGGAGTAAGAGTAAAAACTACGGTGCCATATTAAGCGTCTTTGGCAGACAAACGCTCTACATTTCACAAGTTGAAAACAAGTTTTGCATGCAAACAAATCTCCGGGCACTGGCACCGACCAACCTTGTACAGTAGTACATACATGTGTAACAGTGTAAGATCGTCTTCCAATCAACTTTGGAGGAGGTAAGAATTCCAGCAGCACGACCACTTCGGATCACTAGCAAAGCAGAGCATCTCATGATCACAGCTTCCCACAGCAACGAGAAAACCAGAAGGAAAGGCAACGTAACATAAGTGTGTAAACAAAGACAATGATGTGGAAATACGGCAATAAATATGTTATATACAGACTAAAGGTGCACATGATAGGTTACTATAGATCAGCAGACATAAAAGGACCACTTTTACATATATACAAGCTATCTGGTCTTTCCCTACAATCTCATAGTGTCAGCTTGGCAGGCCACTGCGCTGTACCAGCATAACCTTGTTTGCACAAACAGTGTCTACGGGAACAGGGTCGGGCAGTCGGCCAGAATAAAATAAACTATGGTATCTCTGGATACCATAGGAACATCTTAATCCAAATACTTCCATCCGCATGCTGAACAGACTGTTTTAACAACCGCAGCCGATATAGTACAAAACAGTGATATACGAGCATAAAAGATACTCGGAGCCATTGTGATAAAACTAGAGCCGCTGATGTCTGGGTCCATGTTCTTTCAGTCGAGGCAGGCTACCTTCTGAGACTACATCTTCATATCATCGTGACCAACTGCATTACCTGCATCTGCACCGAGTCCCCCCTCATGCAGAAGGTCCTCCCAGAAATCATCATTTAACTCTGCACTTGGCCTGCCATTAAGATGCTCAGAGCCACCGGAAGAAACACCTTGTTGGACCTCGAAACCCTTTGCCTCAACAGATGAACTCTCCAGATCAGATGGCACACCATTGGCAAGTGATTCGACCAGCTCCAGCAGGTTCAAACACTGCCTGAGACCCTTGCTCCAGGCTAGAACCAGTGCCCATGCTATCAGCTTCAGGTCCCTGATCAATGCGGCGCCTTCTTTTCTTTGAGATGGCATCAAGCCCCTTCCTCATCTCACGTTGGGAGATCAGCTGTCGCATGAACTCAGGGTTCTGCATGACTCGAGCCATGAATGCCATCATCTGCTGTTGCTTCTGCTCAGTATCTTGTAATTTCTCTTCCATGGCCTGTAGATCTGACTTTGTATTTTGCTGCTCCTGCCTCAGCTTCACTACTTCAGCCATCAAGAGCTGTTTGTCCCTCTTCAGCTGATCAATCTCTTCTTCATACCCGAAGTGCCCTACCTCAAGGTAAGAGCCAAGAGATTGTTGACTTGGAGATGAATGTGGAGGTTTCCGACGCCTAATGTTTTTGAGAAGGTGCCTCTGACCTCTCAGAAACTCCTCATTAGCAAATTCCCATCTGTCAGGATCCACCTTTCTGAAGCCCTGCCAAACCAATAATCCAGTCATCAGAAATATCAGTCGCCATTTTTCATTGAGGAAGAATTAACTGCTGAAATCATTTCAGGTCGGATAAAATGCCAAAATGAAGAGGAATCCTATGAAGAATATAAACTATTTATCTTAAATCTATTAGCCAAAATTCTTCTTCAACCTATTATATTATTTTGACGTGACGAATAGAAAACAAGCCCCTCATGAAGATCAAAGATAATTTGGAGAATAAGAATTCATTTGGAAATTGTAGGTGATGACCTGCCTGCATGCAAAATTTGTACAATGCATCTAACAAAGTCGATCAATGTCAGCAGACCTTCAATATGGTGTCTGTGCATACATATATGATCTCAAGAACTACTGAAAGAATGAAATTGGCTGGGGTATAGGAATACCAGGTGCCAGCTTTAAAAGTTTTAGAAGATCAGAAAAACAATTCCACGCAATAAAGTTTCAATATTCAAACCAGACCATTGCTGCAGGAAAATAAAGTCACCCCTTAGATTTTTACAGACCACATGCGTTCCAACAACCTTGAACTGAGGAAGTGGGGAACAACAAGCACAAAACAATTCTGCATTATTTTCTATTATGCAGTCTATGAAAGATCTTAAAACATCAGTAGTTTCTAGATTGTTAGTATAGTATTCTTAAGCACTAACAGTATCAGTGGTTTAGTTCAATGGTGACAACCAAATTAGTCAAACATACTCTCTTCTGTACAGTTTTTTTTCGCCTAATAATTATGAGAACAATTATTTGGTTATTTGAGTTCATTTTTGTTTCAAAGGTTTTGACCAACTCTTAACTGGTGCCATCCTACTCCTAAGCATAATAAGTTCTTAATCAATATTCAACTGGATCCTGATTACCTTGCTTTGATTACTTCCACACAAACTTGCAACTTTGCTTTTTCAGATTCTTATGTGCATATATAAAGAAAAAGACGACACACATGCTATCATGATAACAATTAGGATTTTTCATGGCTAGTTACATGCTTTTCTGTGCAACAGAGGGAGCAGCCAATTTTCCCTGTTATTCAAAAATCACCATTGTGGAATGCTGGCAATTCTCAAACACTAACTGTAATTCACTCCACAAAAAAGAAAGTAGGATTTCAGCAACCACATCATAGAACATGGGACCAAAGCACCGATGGAGTTAACAACTTACATAAGTGTTGAGCTGCCGAACGAAGCTGGAGAAGTTGTTGTGCTTGAAGTACCTTGGCAGCAGCACCGTCCCAAATATATGAGGATCCCAAACTATGAAGCTATTGTTGGTGGCGCTCCACGACACAACGGCATCCGTGGTTGGGTCATCAACCATGTCGTACGTCTTGGTAAGGAACGGCGGCGGACCGCCGTCATGGAGCACATCCATCGGCCTAGGCTGGCCATTGGCAGCGCCCATTGACAGCCGGCTCTCCACCTTGACAGAATTCAACATCCCGTTCCCGTGGTTCATGGTAACCCCATCAACAGAGCAAACTTAGAGCCTCGCCTCAGCAGGAAGCAGATCTAGGCATCAACGAGTTGTAACCCCTTTGGGCTTTGCACCAGACACTGGTTTATTTCTAAGCAGGTTGCTATTTCGTACTTGCCAACTGCCAAGCCTCAGATACTACAAGAAGACACGGTTCAGGCGTGACAAAAGCAAAGAAGTATGGGCACAAGAACAAGGTGCGGGGAAGCAGACAGGCGGCGTAATAAACCCACAGCCCTGTGAGGAACGCTTCAGTTCACCCCATCACGACCCGCGCGCACCTAACAGCTGCTGCAGCAGCAGAATCACTCGCGCAGTGGGCAGAAATCAAAGCGCCCGGACATGTGAAGTGCACCAAGAGGAAGACGCCGCGTGACCTCACAGAACCCCTGACGCCGAACCAAAAGGGAGATCTCTTGGAGCAAGCGCATGCGCCGATGCTACGAACCAAATCAGGGGGGGCATCGATTTGATTCCGGCGTGAGGAGGTGGAGCGGAAAGCGCCGTGCTTTTGACCCACAGCCCCGCAAAAGAAAACGCAAACGCCCCAACCTGCTCTGCTCACTCTGCCCCTTCTCCCCTGGAGCGAAACCAGCAGCACGGGCGCCCGCCGCACGGCGGCGCCTGAGACCGAGGTGAGCTCGCCGCGCGCTCAAGTGGCGGTAAGCGGCACCCGCTTTTTGTGAGAGAAAATCAAGGAGGACAAGGGATCCGGGAAGAAGCGGTGGTGGGAGTGGAGACGCAAATTGGGGATGGATTCCTCCGCACCTGGACCTGCTGCAAGATTTGGTGGGATAGGGAGAGAGAGCTCACAACGAAGACGCCGACGCGGCGACACGCGTCAGGCTCAAATGGGCAGACAGCGATGGCGGTTTGGGTCCACTCACCTGGGGCACGGCCCGCATGTCTGCACGATGGGCCTAATGCACACGCTTCATTCGGCCCATGTCGCAATTGCCTTCTCTTCGAAGGCACCGCATCGAGAAGGTCGTTTTGGTCGTCTTCCCATCCCATCCAATCCAAGTATTCCGAGCCAGCGAACCGACTGTTCGTTTGCTTTCCGTCTTCGTCCTCCCTCTGCCCAGTTGTCGGTCGCCCGCGTCGTCGTCTCCGCCGGCCGGCCTGCGAAACCCTAGCGAAGCGAGCGAGAGACTAGCGGCCATGTTCGGGTTCAGGAAGGCGGACCCGGACCTCGAGGCCGGCGGGTCCTCGCTGCTGTACCCGGGGATGACGGAGAGCCCCGAGCTGCGGTGGGCGTTCGTCCGCAAGATCTACGTCATCCTCGCCGTCCAGCTCGCCATGACGGCCGCCGTCTCCGGCTTCGTCGTCAAGGTGCCCGCCGTCTCCAACTTCTTCGTCTCCTCCAACGCAGGGATCGCGCTCTACATCTTCCTCATCATCCTGCCCTTCATTGGTAAGCCCAGCTCTCCCGTCTTTTTTTTTCCGTGAGCTGAAATTGGTGGCAACCTTTTGTGCCACAGTGCTGTGCCCTCTGTACTACTACCACCAGAAGCATCCGGTCAATCTGCTGCTGCTCGGCCTCTTCACCGTCGCCATCAGCTTCGCCGTCGGCATGACATGCGCATTCACCAGCGGTAATTTGTTCAGTTATTGCTTGCTCTAAGTCGTGATTAGGTGTGATAGCGTGAATGGTTTGTCTAATTGAGCATCTCAAAATGGTTTCTGAGTTGATTGGTGATTCTAGTGAATGGGAGTTTCTGTTTGCATTAGGATTCCTTTTTTTTAATGCTCCTCTAACCACATTTGTTGGACTAAAATTTGGTATACTTGATCATTCAGAAAATTTTGGCAAGGCAATCGACAGTAAACAAATTCTGTTAACATTAAGGTCTGTTCTATTATTTCCAGCGCCACAAACATATAGTTGAGCTGTTGGAGTCCTTTCACACCTTGTTGACATCGATTTCAGCCAACAGAATGTGATGTGCCACAAAACCTGCATAAGTGTAATTCATCTGAAGTATTGTTATGTGCTTAGATTACAGGTTCCAATGTCTTTAGCCGCATATGCTTTTGATCAACCTACACAAATTTTGAACAAACATGGTACTAGTTGGCCCTGTCCATTATTGTTATGGTAACTACATTTGTTTGTGGCTTAATCTCCAAACTTTAGGCGTAAGCATCTATGTAATCTGCCCATCCAACACAAAGGCATTTGGTATGTTGCTCCATCTGTGGGTTTGATGACTGTTAATTCTTCTTGTTGAGGCCTTGTTGAAAGGTGTAAGCCTTGTTGAAAGATTGTCCAGCAGTGGAAACCTTTATTCTTTTCACCTTTTGTGACAAGAAAACCAATGAGCAAAACCATCATTGGGTTTCTCCCTTTTACAAGTTTGTATTTTTTGAACTCATGTCATATGGTAGAAGTTGAGGCTTCTTTGGCCTTTTTATTAGAGTTACATATCCTCCTTTTGTTTCTGCCTCTATAGTTCTTTTGTGGGCATGACATCGAAACTCCACATGGCCATTGTTACGAACTATATGACAGTCGAAACAAAATATGTTTAGAAACTAGCTTAGATGAATTTCATGGGACACTTTAAGTACATGGGCATATAAGGTCCTAAACTTTGAATGGTCCTATGACATATTGCAGAAGTATGCAATGGGATCAGTTCCTTTTTGGCAATTCACTTCATCTACTCACTGGAATTCTGCCATGTGTGATTGCAATGTGCTTTGCTGATGTCCCTATTTCGAGCATGTATGGTTTGTATCAACTAGGATTTTGTTCTCTATATGAAGGAGCTGATTGGCAGTTTGTTATGTGTGCAGGAAAAATCATTTTGGAGGCTGCCATTCTTACAGCAGTGGTGGTGGTCAGCTTAACTGCTTACACTTTCTGGGCTGCAAAGAGGGGCCATGACTTCAACTTCCTTGGCCCCTTCTTATTTGCTGCTATCATGGTGCTCATGGTGTTTTCACTAATTCAGGTTGGATGGCTCTACCTTGATTCCCATTAAGTATTTATATATCTTTATTAAGATACTTTTTTACTGTGGTGGATTTTGAGTGCATCATCTAATTACTTACTTGCTTATGCTGAATTATGCATCATACTAATAGAGATTTTGCTGCACAGATCTTTTTCCCACTGGGCAAGATATCTGTGATGATATATGGTGGATTGGCGTCACTTATCTTCTGTGGATACATCATCTATGACACGGACAATATCATCAAACGCTACACTTACGATGAGTACATATGGGCTGCTGTTTCACTCTACCTCGACGTCATCAACCTGTTCCTGTCTCTGCTGCAGCTGCTGAGAGCAGCCGATAGCTGAGCTCGTCAAGCTTTAACTTTGATCTTGTTTTCACGTACATTTGTGTATATCACACACACTAATCTCATGGATACTCCAATTTATAATTAGATTGTGTTGGTGCTACCTTAGTTCAAATGTTATGTCTGGCCTAGCGAATAAGGATAATTTTGTGTATGGAACTGCCCAAGAGTCAAGACTGTTTAGCAGCTTTCGGCAAGACGAAGTGCAGCTGTATTTCTACGCACGATCAAAATAAGAATCCCAGTAAATTGCACTGCGTTTGATCCGATTTTTATTCAATTTTATTTTAATTGGAGGCTTTTGAACGGATTCATGGACGTAGATTCTCTGGTTTGCAAGTTGGAGTGAATCCGCAGCCCTGTATGCACGTAATTTGATCGTTTGCTATAAAAGTTCTCCAGAATTTTGCCTAAAATGCTACTATTTTGGAAAAACTGAGGCTGATAGATTACTGGACACAGCCGGTAGTTTTCCAAAATTTTGTCAAAGATCCTGTTTGGCAGAGCTTCTCATGGTTTTGGCTGGCTCCATGTTACAGTACTTGAGGAGCTGGAGAGTGTTACAGTACTTGAGGGGTTACGGCTGGCTCCGTGTTACAGTACTAGGGAAATCATTGGTTTCTTTGGAAGAAGTAACAAATATTAGTTTCTTTCGGCTTCCAGTTCATTTGACAATAAAAGAAAAGGAACTTCAATGAACATTGCATGGGTTAGCCGGAGTCCCTGAGACCCCTTCCAAATAGGGTCAAGTGCATGATTAGTTTCCAAAATTTTACAACCGTCATATCGAATCTTTGGACGCATGTATGAAGCATTAAATATAAATAAAAAATAAAACTAATTACACAGTTTAGACAAAATTCACGAGACAAATCTTTTAAGCCTAATTAGACTATGATTGGACACTAATTGCCAAATAACAACGAAAGTGCTACAGTATCATTTCCCAAAAAAATTCGCCAACTAAACAAGGCCCTAGGAATGTTACTATTTTGAAAAAACTTAGGCTGAAAGATGACAACCAGTATCCTTGTATATATGTTGATGACCTCGTACTGATGCAATACGTTTCTCCAACTGTTGATGTGGTGTTGTCAAGTGGATACCTAAAGATATGAGAAAAGGATACACTTTAGTCATCCTGATTGCTTAGGAGATATGGATTATGGAAGCATTTAAATGTTGTTTGAGGGTGTAAGTCTAAATGTGCAAGTGATTCGGTAAATATTGAGAGCAGCGTTTGGCGCTTTCGAGCCCGTTTGGCCGGGCTCTCCCCAGCTCCGGCCCGCCTGCTCGTCTCTTGTACGAAGGAGGTAGAGCCTTTTTTATCGGCTAGCTGACTGGCAACGCAGCTCCGCCTGCTCGTCTCTTTCTTCGACCGGTTTAGTATGAGAGAAAAACACTTTTTAAAATTTACGATCGTTTTGACAAGCTGCTGATAGTCCTGCACAATGCAGCGGGAGCCGGAGCCACTGGGCAAGGAGCCCTGCCAAAGACTGTCTTCGTTGGAGCTTCTGCTCTCCAGGAGATAGAGGTACGCCTTTGGTTGCTCTCCTAGAATACGTATGAGTATTTCTCAAAAAAAAAAACGATAGGTATGAGTATTGAGTTTGTTTTTGTTGCAAATCTGTAACCAGTGCGTGTTCCTGGGAGTAGATTCTATGTCCTTTTTCTTGTTTTTTCTCCTATCTCAATAAAATGATACGTGGCTCCCTTGCTTTATTCTAGGAACAGGTAAGTAATAGGACAGAACTGCATGTCAAACATAAAAACCCCATTTGTCGGGTACGGCATGGAGAAGACACTCCTGTTACTCCATCCATCCATTTTTTAACTTTCGTTTTCACCTCTCAGGAAATAACCTTGACTAAATATATATAAAAAATATTAATATATATGATACATAATTAATATCATTAGATAGACCGTTGAATCAATTTTTATAATAAATTTATTTGAAGATATAAATATTGTTAATATTTTGTACAAATCTAGTTAAATCTATAGACACGCATACGGTGGCAACAGATATTTAGGGACAGAGCCTACATCTCAAGTCTCTGTGCTATTTCCTATTTGTGCGGAGTGATCTTGTGTGTGTACGATGATCGCTGAACCAACATACTAAGGGCCTGTTTGTTCCACCAAAAAACTAATTATTTTTTTTAAGAGAATCATCGATCACAAACTTTCGAACATAATTAGTCGATAATTATACACTAAATTACTAAATGTAAGTGCTACAATACTCAAAAAAAAAAATTGCCAACTAATTACACTAAGAGACATGGATAAGAAATTGCTGCACATGATCCCAAAACTTCACTCCTAACCTGTTTAATTAGTCCAAAAATTTCAACCCGATAGACACTAATTATTTGGTAAATATTGTCCAATCGTGACCAACTAAGCTCAAAAGATTCATCTCGTTATTTCAAAAAACCAAAAATATTTGCCAACTAAACAGGCCCTAAGAGACATTCATCACTTCCTGTTGCTGCACATGATCCCAAAAGTGTCACTCCTAGTGCGGTTTGTTTATTCATCAGTCAGGTAATGTTACAGGCCTGAGATCCTAGATTCCTAGCGAATCATGCGCTTGTACCTTCAGTTCTCGAGAGTAAAAACAGAGTAGAGAAAACCCGGCAAATTCTTTTCTTTTCTGAGGGATATATGCAGGAGCTTTGCACATTTGAATTTCTTTTTGGTGCGGACTTATATATATTATATTTTTTTCCACGCGAAGGTCATCCTCTATTTCCATTTCAGATAAACCGAAATACAAGCATTCGAACACGTAGAAGGGGAAGAAAGACAGAGCAAAGTTCCAGCACCTCTAGCCTAAGCTGCACTCTGTCGAGTCAGAAAGCTAGGAAGGACTTATATATATATTATATATAGTAGAAAAATAAACGTTTGGTTTCTTATTAGGAAGTTAGGAACCCAACAGTAAGACTGCAGATTGAGACTACTGTATTACATTACATCACATGATAAATTAAATGACCAGCCGGGAAAAGCTATTACAGTTTGAGCGCACCAAGAATAGAAGCCCTCGTGCAGTTGCCGCCATCTTTCTCCACCACCCAAAAAGGTTTTGTCAAAAAAAAAAAGGTTCCGACACGCCTAAACATCCCTCCCCCAGCGCAGCGCAGCCCACCTATCAATAACCGACGAGGCGCGAGAACCGACGACCACCGGCTGCTCGCCGTCTCTCTCCCTCGGGGCACGCGCGCGGGAGACAGGCCCGGCCAGGCCAGCAGCCAGCCATGGGCAAGTGCAGCCACGACGTGGAGGCGTGCTACCCGCCGGGGGCGGACGGCGGCATGTACCCGTACATGATGGAGAGCCCGCAGCTGCGGTGGGCCTTCATCCGCAAGGTGTACGCGATCGTCTGCCTGCAGCTGCTGCTGACGGTGGCCGTCGCCGCCACGGTCAACCTCGTGGGCGCCATCGGCGACTTCTTCCGCTCCCGCACCATGGGCGCCATCGCCGCCACCATCGCCGTCATCATCTTCCCCATCCTCGGTACGTCCGTACGTGCTTCTTTCTCGACACTTCTCGTGTATGCATATACATGTTCATTCACATGGATCATCGGTCGACGTCGTTGCTCGGTGTGCATTTTTTTTAAAAAAATATTGCAGTGATGATTCCGATGATCATTTACCGGAAGCGGCACCCGGTGAACCTCGTGCTCCTGGCGCTCTTCACCGTCGGCATCAGCTTCGCCGTGGGGCTCAGCTGCCTGTCGGCGAAGGGCCCCGTCATACTGGAGGCGGTGGTGATCACCATGGTGGTGGTGCTGGGGCTCACTGCCTACACCTTCTGGGCGGCCAAGCAAGGCTACGACTTCGAGTTCCTGGGGCCCTTCCTGGTGGCCTCCCTCCTCATCCTCATGCTCTTCGGCCTCGTGCGGATCCTCTTCCCGCTGGGGAAGACGGGGACCATGGTGTACGGCTGCATCGCCGCGCTCGTCTTCTCAGGCTTCATCATCTACGACACCGACAACCTCATCAAGCGCTACTCCTACGACGAGTACGTCGCCGCCGCCATCGAGCTCTACCTCGACATCATCAACCTCTTCCAGGCCATCCTCGCCGTGATCGAAGGCGTCGACTGATGACTGAGAGCATATATACATAGGATCATATGTAAATCTAAGCTACCGCTACCGGGATGGGTTGCAAGTTGCAACAGGCCAATCTGTAATCCATAGATAGGGTCGAACGGCACCGCCGTGATTGAACATTACTACCAACGAAATATTGCCAATCCAATCCATTATATCACAAACGGCAGCGAAAGGATAGTGACGGCAACACAGCTGTGCGTATGGCAATTGCCGCAACAATGCATTCATCGGCCTCAGAATTGTTCAACACAAACCAAACTTCCCAGGAACGAACTAAGCTTTGCTGGCCAAGTTTGCAAGACCATCGATGCATGGAGTAATTTTGGTTCATTCATGAAATGGATTCGGATGGTCTGACTGTCACACCCAAGCCATAAATTGCAGGATCACAAGATGCCAAGAGGCAGTACCTTCGGCATCACCAGACTTGCACTTTTGAACTCCTCGTTGTATAAAAATAGGGGGGGAAGTTGCCAGGGTCAACTACAAATTGCTCAATTCAACATATAACTGTTTCTAGTATGCCATACACCCACTGGAATAAGCTCAACCTTTAAATGGTCTCAGTGCTCTTCTATCTTCTTCAAATCCTTCATATTCGTCGTGTCCACACTGCAAAATAAACCAAGCAATTTAACTTTAGGAAAATGGACCACGTCAATTATACATATGCATATGTGAAGAAATTAAGGAGAGTTCTACTACGTTCTCAAAGCCTGACAATGGATCCCCCTCCCCTTAAGCACATTCCTATCTGATTTGGTATATTGATTTCCTTCACCTTTCAATTTTGGCTAAATAAAATAGCCAGTTACTAAATATAGCAGAACTCCAGCTACTTTTTCTATACAGGTAATAATAGTAACCTGCTTGTACAAATGAACAGAGAAAAAGCAAAATACATAGCTCTGATCAATAACCAAAGGTTGCACTTGCATATCACACAGGTATCCTATTGATCACTAAGCAGGTATCACCAATCAGCTTGAATTTCTATGGATGTCTACCTCAAAAAAAAAAATCTATGGATGTCCTCGCAAACTTAATTAAATTTATTAGCTCAAAGAATACATGTTTCCAATTCTTGTTCATATTCCAGAATTGCAATTTCTCCTCCTCCAAATAATTAGTACTATTCCAGAGGATCTCCTTCAGTGACTTTTACTTTAGACATCGTCATCATTTCTTATATTCACACTAACAAAACTTTATAATTCTAGCCCTTGCCCAAAACAAAGTAGAACCAACCAAAACGGAAACAGTGGCTATGATAGTAAACATGTGGAAGAGAAAAACTTACGTTGTTCCATAAAGAGCAATCTTGTGAATTTTCGAGACATCACTTCCACTTTGATTGTCCTCAATAAATATAGTCAGGCTGAAATAATAACAGAAGGCCATTAAAAACAGTGATAAGAAACAAAAATGAGGGAACAAAAGCATATATATCATGGAAATGTACATACCTGCGAACATTTTGGAACTTGACATACTTTAGCGGCAAAGGTTTATTCTGCAGGAAAGAAAGGCCAAGATCCATCTGGGTGAGCAAAACAATAATGGATGGGATGCCAAAAAAAACTGGATGGCCATCAACCATATATGAGTCGGGTGATAAGTCATACCTCTATCAAATGATTGGAGGATAGCTCGAGGGTGTCACTTGGTGGATAGTCATTGACATTGCTGCCATTTATTACATAAATATATGGTCATGCACTCAGGCTGAATAGAAAAGATAATGTGTTCTGAATAGACCAAACTCCAAACAACTCAGGCAGGTGGTAGAATACCTGAAACCCATATGCTCTTTGTTGGAGAAGAGTTTTACTGTTTTGGGGCCTGTGATGAGAAAAGGGCATTATTGTTTGAAAAAGAAAGGCAACCATGAAATTGCAGTGACAGAGCATCATGCAGTCCCCAACAACAAAAAATTGCCAGAATATCATGCCGCATAGTGTTGCAGTGGAAAACATCATTTTCAAAAGAAAAAACCTTATAATTCGTGGAAAATTCAAACTTTCAAGCACCTCCCTTATTTGATGCTGGGTCTAACTTTTATTCTCAAAAACACTAACGTTAACTTTTCCAGAGTCTGATAAGCGCCATGTGAAAAGATGGGATTGCACTTTTGGTTTGCAACTCTGCAACCGACACCGTGAAGCAGCAGCTGGTGGAGCTGAGGGCGGCCTCGGCCATGCCAGAGTCCAGACAGCATAATCCTCTCCCTGCAGTGCAGGGGCTACTCTGAGGTGCTCAGCTGCATCGACATGGATGTCTCAAAGCAGAACTATTCCTAAAAAATCTGCCCCCCCCACACCACACACCTGGTTGCGTTGGATAACTCAAAACAGAGTGGGTCTCAGGCTTGGTGGACTGTTCAAATACTATTAATCTGAAGTCAAATCCTCTCATACAAACTCAACTAGAAGTTATTTAAATTTCACTTTTTTCATCCTACAAAACTTTCATTCTTGTGAACCTGTTGAAATTCATCTAAACCTTGTGTGTCCATGTATTTATTTTGTATATACGGAACATTAATAAGTTCTTTGCTAAATGCAGACTACAAGGGCAATCCATATTTTTCACATGGCACTTACGAGCCTTTTGATGGAAAAGCTAACAACAGTGCCACATTATTGGGAATGAAAGTAAGAACCCATGTCAAATAAGGGAGGCTGAATTTTCATGCGGTGTCAAATAGGGAATTGTCTCCAATAAATGGCAACTTAACACTGGCAATACTAATGCAAGTATCAGAAATCTAAACAAGCAAAGCACCCTCGTTGCAAGTATGAAAACAAGATATTTTTCAGCAGCACCAGCGCCACAACTAACAGTGCATTATGTTCAAAGTAGGTCGTACTCCTACCTACTTTGAACATATAAACTGTCAATTGGGCAGAAATCCAGCCGCATCGAACAGAACCCAAACAGGGATTTGCAAATCTTACCCTCTTCCTCGGGGCCTTTGAATAGCGCGGAATGCAGCTTTACCACCTGCATGAAGGGGATGTAGATCAGCAGCTGCTCGTCCGAATCGCTGGCGAGGAACAGCCCCTCGTCGTCCCTCAAACTCTGCAACCACCGAACAAGCACCACAACGCAATCGCCGTTAGAGTTCGCAGTAGAGTAGAGCCACGAGCGATCAGGAAGTCACCACCGACGAAACCCTAGGAGAAGTTCCCGAAAAAAAAAGGAAAACCAAACGAACCGCCCCACCAAAATCGCGCGAAGAACAGAATCTAAAACCCGTCGGAGGACGGGGCTAGTCGAGCTAGGGTTTGTGTCGGGAGGACGCGGCGCCTACCTGCTTGAGCGCGTTCACGATGCTGTGGGACGAGTCCTGGTTGAGGCACTCGACGCCGGTCCAGTCGATGAAGTCGATCAGATCCACCTGCCCGCGCGGCACCTGCACGGTCGCGGCCGGGGCGGGGGCCGGGGTGGCCAAGGCGGCGGCGGCGGCGGCGGCGGTGCTGGCGGCGTCCATGGCTTGGGTTGGCTTCCGGAACCTTCTAGAAGGGCGAGGCTGATAAGACGGAGAGGGAGGGGAGCTGGCGTTCGAGAGGGGCTTTGCGTTGCGTGCGCCGGTGCGCGCGTGCCGGAAGGTGAACGAGCGAGTCCGACTCGTGAGGTGACTTGCTACTCGAGTTGCGGCAGCGGGGATACTGATATCTTCCATGACGCGGTGCGGTCGAGCCGAACACATCAGGGCTAGGGGTCCAGGCGAAAGTTGTCAACTTGTCAGTGTCACACTCCAACTCCGAGAAAACTGTATGCTAAAATTTGTTTCCCCCATTCTCAAAATACTCCCCTCATTCTCAAAAATACTCTTCTCTCTCTCATTGATTTGGGGTAGGATGATGAGCCAAAAAAAAGTGGTTTCTCCCGGCCTCCTCCCTCCTCCTAAATATGCTCTCTCACAGTTTTATTTCCAAACGGTTTAGAATACAATTCTCGTTGTTTTAAAAAAGTGAAGTTAAATGCTTTCAAATTACTTACTTAAATATTCTTTGTTTTAAAAAATTAAATGCTTTCAAGTTTATTTAAATATGTTAGAAAAATACTAACATTTATATTACAAAACAAATACCATTAAATTAATTATTAATTATGAAATATATTTTTTGTAATAAATCAATTTGGAGATATAAATGTGAATACGATTCACTTTAAACTTGATCAAACTTAAACTACTATAGTGGACATGGATACCATAGTTATATTCTTTCCTATAGACAGAGGTAGTTTTGAGGAGGTAGGCAGGCCAGGCGGTGGGGACAACGGCCGGGCGGCTTCGAGGCCTTGGCGACGGTGGAGGCGGCCTGGCTAGATTGGGGTGGGGTGGGGCGTGACCGCTTTTGTCGGAGTTGGAGAAGAAAGCAGCAGCATGAGGGGGAAGAGGAAGGCTGCTGCAGGCGCCGTAGGGTCTCGCCGGAGCTCCATGGCCACGGCAGCGGGGGAGCGGGCAGGCTAGACGCGGGTTGGAAGAATATGCCGAGGAACAAGATGAACAAGGGATCAATCAGGATGGATCTTGATCCAACGGCTGAGATCTTGATCCAAAATTCAGGCTGAGGCACTGTAGCTCGTCGATTTTAAAATCCAAAATTCAGGCGTCTGGTTTATAGCAATTCCCATGATTTTTTGGCATGTTTGGTTCATGACCTGCCAGACAGCGATCCCAACTGTTCGAATTGACGACCTAGGGACACTGCCTGGTCCCAGACGTTTGAAGCATAACCAAACATGTTCTTTATGTCCCCAACTCCCCATATTCAATTAAAGGCTGATACCAAGACAAAAGAGTCGATGGATTCAATCAAATGCTTACAACGACACTAATGTTATAGTTCAGAATCCAACAGTTTGACAACGATCCTGATGTTATAGTTCAGAAATGGGCAACAGTTTCGAGGTCTCATGGCAACTTAACATGTCCTCCCTCCTTTCCAAATTATAAATCGTTATGACTTTTTTTTGGTACATAGAAATTGCTATGTATCTAGAGATATGTTATATCTAGATGCATAGTAAAATGGATGTAAAAAAAAAAATCAAAGCGACTTATAATTTGAAACGGAGGGAGTACAACTTACCAAAAGACACTGAGACAGACACCACGTACAGGACTGATAGGCGAAGGCAGGTCGATTTCAAAACAGTTACATGGAGACGGGAGTACGGGACGGCATCACTTGAAACCACCACCATCAATCAAGGGAAACCCACAAGCACAGCTAACGTAGCACTGAAGTCTGATGCTCAGATTCTAGTAATGACTTTGCTGTGGGCTTCACAAAGGAGGATTGGCAGCCTTACATCCAGTGTTTTTTAAACATCCAGAGTTGCCACAGCAAACAGGGAGGATTATGGGTGGTTCTGCAATATATCAGGAAATCGGGCATCTCGTGTTGAGCTGAAAAGGTACTGAAAGATAACATGTTTGCTTAAGCTATAAAAATATGAGGGCACAAATGCAGACAGAACCAAACAAAAACAAAATGCGCAATTGTGGAATAAATCAATGAGATGGGATAATTATAAGTGCAAAGGTGCAAATCTGGAGGCTAAGTTGAGCTTAGAGGTTTCAACTTATGGTGGCAGTCTTCATTTTCACATTCAGCCTTGCTGAATCTTATGTTTTTCTATGCCATCTCCTTTTTATCAGTTCAGTATCAACTGATATCAAGCCTGTCAAACACAGTACCTTTTTATTTCAGGAGTAACTTACCATCATGTATTACTGTTTTAGATTTTAAACACCCCAAATAGTAGAGGCCTAGCTGGTGGATTTTGTTTTGTGGTGTTGGTTTAGTTCCACATTGGCTTCAGAATAGTCACAAATATAATAGCACGGAATTCAGGCAAGGAACTAAAGTTCAATTTAACTCATCAAGTAATCACATAGACTATTATTAATAGCAAAGAATGTGTTTTTTATTCGAGAAAAGCGAAGAATGTGTTTTTCTCAGAAATGGCACAATAATGTCTGAAAAGCACAGGATGTTATACAGAAAGTAATTTGCCGTGTTCATCTTCTTTGCTGAAGGTCTTTCAAGTATGTACAACCCTCTTATCTTTTCTGCTACAGGTTTTTCTACTTTTCTAGATTCTTCTACCAGTATTCATTATTGACAGTGTTTCATGAGAACTTTACCTGGAAACACTGTCAGCGCTGAAATGTCAGCAGTGGTATATCATTTCCCTATCATAGTACACAAAAACATGTCTCAGACCTCAGTCTAGTCCTTCCAACAATATGTTGGTCACATTGTCACCATCCACTGTCTGGTAGGCTTCAACAAGCTCTCTAGCCTCCACCAGACCAGAGCTGCCGACCAAGACACGATGAGTCCTTGAATCAGGCACCCACCCCTTTTCCAGCATTTGGTCTAGAAACTTGCATGCCTCACTCTTGAAGCCTTCTTTAATAAGTCCATAAATAATAATATTATATATTCTGGGGCTCACTGTTCCACTTGTATCTATCACTTCCAGTAAACTTTGTGCAACCATATTGAGAAAAGAAAACAAAGCCATATCATTGACTAACAATTCAAATGTCTCTTGGTCAGGAAAAAAGGAATGATTAACCATTCTGTTGAACAAGATAGCAGCCTCAATAATTGTCTCCTTGGTGAGGAAAGAGCGCAACAGAATATTGTATGCATACCCATCCAATGGACAACCTTCCATCAGCATTTGTGCAAAGAGAGTCAATACATCTTTCCCCTTCTTCAAATGGAGCAGTGCTTGGATAATTATGCCATAAGTGGAGAATGTACAAGAAGTGCCTGTGCAAACAGCCAACGTACACAATTTGACTGCTTCGTGGATCTTTCCAGACAAGCAACTCCCTTCAATTAGCATATCAAGTGACTTGTTTGTCAGACTGCAGCCTCTTTTATAGTGATATTTAAAAACTTCAATAGCTTCTTGGATCCTCTTTGTGTGACACAAAATCTCTACAAGCTGTGAGAAAGATTCCGAATTCAAAGACAAGTTATTAATACTTACCCTTCTGAACATACTCAAGGCATCTATGTACAATCCTAATCGACAGTAACAAGATATAACAGCAGAATAGGTAGTCTCATCTGGTGCAAATGAAGAAACAACCATTCTACCAATGAGCTCAGATGCTCTTCTGATGTTTCCTTCATTGCAGAACTGAGTTATAACAATGTTCCATGACTCACAATCAACAAAACCTCTGCTGTGCAATTTCTCAAGATAGCTTACTGAATCCTGCAGCCTGTCATTTCTACACAACCATGTCAGCAGCACATTATATGGTTCTGTTTCAGTGACATCATTTTCCTCTAGAAAGATCACAGCATTGCGGAACTTGGCATTTGTACAGTAATAATTTATCATATCCACATATGTACTTGCCATTGGAGAATGACCCGATGTAATCATCTCTTTGAGCACTATGGTAGCATCATCCAATAGTTGATTCCCACATAAACATCTAACCAAGGCACTGTACAACTGCAGACTCAACTGAATGTTATCTTCTTTCATCATTCGATACAACATGATTGCCTCCTTGACTTTACTGAACTTGCAAAACAGGGGCATCACTTGAGCATGGAAGCTGCTATCAGGGGAGCACCTAAGTTGCAGCATCTTGTCCAAGAGCCTCACCGCTTCATCTGCTCTGCTGTGGGAGCAAAGTGCTGTGATCAGTACCTCAAACGTATGACTATTAGGAGTACACCTCTTCTTGCTCATCCTGTCAAACTGAATCAGTGCCAAGTCTAAACGACCAGATTCACACAAGGCCTCGATCAGCAAATTCAATGTCTCCACATCAGGGAGGACTCCCACCTTGACAATCTCCGTGTACGCAAGCATGCACAACCGCAATCCCCTTCCTTGCTTGACCATACCATGCAGCACTCCGTTGCAAGCTGAGACTGACAACTTAAGCTTCACAGAGCTAGCATGCTGGATTACCAGCAAAGCTTCATCAAATCGGTTCTTACTGCTCAGGCACTCAACTAATTTATTAAGGGCCTGCTCCAATGCAGGCACCTTCAGCCTGACCATCTCACTGAGGAGACTGTCCATCTCATCACGATTTTCCACAGCAGTAAGCCTGGAGATCATACAGCTGTAGGTGTCAACTGTGTGAATGTTATATCTCTGATGTGAAACCCATCTGAAGATCCTAAGAGCCAAGCTCGAGTCGGATGTGGAATCGAGAACCCGGGCTAGACTCTCTGGCCGGAGATTGTCCTTGAGTGACTGGATCGCAGAATCAAACTCAGAAGAACTTGCTCTATCGGCAGAAGCGCGCACGGAGGGCGAATCTGCGCACGAACAGTACGTGATTCTGCCTGATAACAGGTGCCGTCTCGCAAACCGTATGCGAGATACAACCTTCAGCGCCATTGAGGCAGCTACATGGACACTGACAGCGTCATGCCAAGCTTCAAATGTGTACGTCCGTCAGTTTGTACTGAATTTTGGAATCTCTGC